ATCATAGAACATGTAATAGTTTATCATCTGTTTTACTTCATTAGGCAATGAGCTCCCTGAAAGGAACAACCAGATATTATTTTCCTGACTAAATTCCGTAAACACACAAACATAACCACAGAAAGTCAGATGCATGCCATTTGAGAAGTTCTAATTTCCAAGGTATGGTAGCAACATCAAAAATACATTTGACTTAATAAGAGAGCAACCATTTACTTAACATCAACAAATATTAACTGAATGTTTCCTATATGCCAATCAAAATTACAGGTCCTGGGAAAACAGAAGTAAATGAGACAAATGAGGACCTTCTCATGTAGTAGTTTACATTCTAAGAGGGACAAACAATAAATAAAGAACAGAAACAAGAAATATCAAAAACAAGAATACCAAAAACAAGAAAATATCAGTGGGAGAGCTACTGTAAACTAGGTCATCAGGGAAGCCCTCTACAAAGGTGACATTTGAACAACCCATGAATAGCAAAAAGGAGCCTACAATTAGAACATCTAAGAGAGGAGTATTTTTAAAAGAGGGACCAGCTATCCCAAAGTCCAGAGCAAACTTGGTGTATTCAAGAATGTAGAATATGTGTATGATGTATGTAAATTAGATCCCTATGTGTAATTACATGTGACATTATTTTATATCAAAGACCTTATGTAGAGTTCAAGGGACCTTCACTTTTTTTTAATTCACCTCTAAATTGTTTAAAGCACAGTTCCCAGCATATCTCATTATCAACCACCAACTTTTATTAAGTGTCCTTACACGTGAAAGAAAAGCAGCTATCACTGTAGAAAATTTTTTTTAAATTAGACTCTTTTCACTTATAAAATAAAATCTATTAGAGAAAAAGGCAAAAATATATGAAGTATTAATACAAAAATTTAAAAGCAATATGTGGCAATAATGAGACATATCTCCAGGTAATATAAAATTAATCACCAAGTAAAATTACCTACATAAACATTTATTTATATGTTGTTCATAAAATAAAGTTTCTATCTAGTTGAAGGAAAATTGACTAGACAGATTTTCACTAAATTTGCAGGAAACGGCTGGCATATTTCTGTCTTAAGAAATAGTCTATGTATTACACACAACATTCACTAGCAGGGTGCCAAAACTAAAAGAAAAAGTTTAAGCATCTAAAAAGAGCTAAAACTAAAAACTGCAACAAAGGGTCCATGAGGTCTTAGAGGTCTGGTAATAGGGAGGGATAAACCATTTTGGAAATTGATGCAATGGATGAGCAGAGAAAACAGTGATTTCAAATTTGAACTCCAAACTATTTGACTCAAAGGCAATCAATCCAAATTCCATGCATTGATTTGCAATAACACTGACTCTAATATACAAAACAAAAAGGAATGTGTTCCAGGAGGAGTGGTAATAGTGATTTGTTTATTTAATGATTCTCTCAAGTTATGCAGAGGAAGCTAACTACTATATAATAGAGGTTATGAATTCAAAGAAGGAAAAATCCTTGTCTTAGTTTAGTTTTGCCCAGAATCAAATCCTGAGACAAGGATTCACATGCAATTGGTTAACTAGGAGGAAAACAATAGTAAGGGAGGTTGGAAGTGAGACAGGGAAGGGAAAACCATCAATAAAGGGTTGGTTATTAATCAAGTGTCCACTGTAGATAAAAAGAACCTAATCCCACTGGGGGAATCTGGTAGCCAGTCTAGAACAGTGTAGCCAGTGTAGTGAAAGACTGAGAAAGGCTGAGGAATTTATATACTCACTCATGTCAGTCATCAGCTTAGGGCTGCTCCCAGGCAGTATTACTTATCTGGCATTGCTGATCTACTGAGCAGGAAGACAAAGTGGGCTTTGGTGACAAGAAAAGGCCCTCAGGCCAAAAAAATAACAATAATAATACCGTTGCTGGCAGCTAGAAGAAAGGCTAGGATACACTGAAGTGGCAAGAGAAGGGGAATGCTGGTGGTAAACTGATAATCATATGGTCAGGAATGATCTAGAAGAACAAAGAGAAGAGGGACTTGAGATGGGCTTTGAGGAATGGGTTGGATTTAGTTAAGGGAAAACATTTAAGTTAGGAAAAGTGGCCTGAGCAAAAGTATTGAGGAAAGGAAGAATAAGACGTATCCTACCTAGTTCAGTTATAAGCCAGTTTGGCAGGATCAGAGAGACAATTTATACAGAATATTCTTGGGAAAATATAGCTAAAAATATACACTGGGTCCATATTAAGGAAGGTACCTAATGTTAATCTAAAGAATTTCAACTTTTTATCCTAGGTACTGAGGAACCTTTAAGTTTCTAAATGGGAAAGTAATAAAATGAAAAAATTATGGCATTAATATCTATGTTGGCAGCATTACTGCCCCTGGAATATAGACTCCTATTGGATAGGATCTGTATCTATTCAACTTCCCTAAAAGAGGATTACATGCAGAGAAGTATTTAGTACCCCATTAGCAATGAGCACCCCAAGTACAAAGGCTGTGGTATCTAAATACCATTTCTTACTAAAAGGAACCAATGCTCCTTGGAGAAAGGGCTGAATCCAGGAATGTGCAGAATATTTACAAAATCAGTCTAAAAACATTTCGTTATGCCAGAAAGGAAGTAAACTATCAAACGCTACAGTGGCCTGGTCACAAGAATTCAGGAGCCCACCTGAGGGAGTTCCCACTGGCCAAAGAAGAAACAATTTGAGCATTAAAGTAATAAATATTATAGATATATATTAAAATTTTTAACATCCATGAGTTCATAAATATACTTAAAAACCTGAAGGTGACAAGGGAACTAACTCATGCTGAAAACTAGGAAATAAAGGAGAAAAATCACACATTTATCTTACTCTTCCTATAAAAACTGTACAAATACTTAAAAATGTAAAGTCCTTTATTATAAAAGAATTTCTGTTAGTAAAGGTAGAATTAATGATCAAATAAGAATATTGCTATTTTGCACCTCCTAATAAAATCATGGACATAGCAGTCATCAATGGCTGCTAAAACTATTAGCTAAAAAGGCGAAGGAGAATTTATGCTGTTTATCATAAACTTTATCAGGTTGACAACATCTGAACCCAATAACCAACCATAACATGACAGAAAGATAACCAGATAGTGTATGTCTCTTAAAGTAATGCAGCAGAAAGTAAACAGTAACACCTATGAAGTCTTTTCAGGGGAAAAAACAAAAAACCCTCAATCTGAATAATCCTGTAGATTTAACTACCAGTTTAAAAAAAGACAGGAGAAAGGACATCATAGGTATCCATACAATTTGCAATATTCAGAATGCGCGAAATTCTACATGATCATAGATTGAAATACATCAAAAGTAGGCCTCCCTGGTGGCGCAGTGGTTGAGGGTCCGCCTGCCGATGCAGGGGACACGGGTTCGTGCCCCGGTCCGGGAGGATCCCACATGCCGCGGAGCGGCTGGGCCCGTGAGCCGTGGCCGCTGAGCCTGTGCGTCCGGAGCCTGTGCTCCACAATGGGAGAGGCCACAGCTGTGAGAGGCCCGTGTACCGCAAAAAAAAAAATAATAAATACATCAAAAGTAATGTGGAGACTTTGTTTAGGTCTTGATTTCAGTAAATCAATTGTAAAATATGGAATAAAATTTAAGACAATTAAATTTGACATTGAATGTCTCTTTTATGATATTACAGTACTGTTAAAATTTTAAGTGTGCTAATCATATTGCAGTTATGTTCTCTTTAAAAGCCCTTTTATATTTTAGATATATATTCATAATTCCAGAAAGCTTAATCTTCTATACTTATCAATAAAATAATATGATGTCTGGAATTTACTTCAAAAGAATCCAAAGGGCTGGAAAGAGGGCTATATATTAATCATTGTTTAGCTGATTTATATAGGTGCGTTCGTTAACCAACTTATTTAAGATATGTTTGAATACAGAGATTGGGTATTCCAAGTGAGTTAACTTAAAGTATTTCTGACCTCCTGCCTCATCACTGAAATCATTAAAGACTGAAGACAACTACTCACAGAAAGAAACATAGAACAAAGTTAGAAAAAAGTAGTTATGGAAGTACAATGTCGGCGCGCACGTAAAAACTTCACTGAGAAAAGAAAGAACTTCCAATGCCTAAAATCGGGGTAGGAAGCAATGGTCAACCCTGGGACTCCTTAACTGTTACTGAATGCCATGGGGGCAATATAGTAAAGAAAAAATACCTGATCTGGGAGTTAGACGACTAACAACGCCGAGCTTTGTAATTTCGAACTCACTTGTGTACGTTTTGGAGTACGAAAACACGGGAAATTAAATAAAAAATAACAGTAACAATACTAATTGCGTTGTGTGTACATATGTTATTCTACTTAAACTTGAGCGACTGACATAAACTTTTTAGAGAACTACTTAATGAGGTAGGCATCAACACATGGTCTCATTTCTCATACGAGGTGATTGAGGTTCGAGGCCAATAACCTGTTTAAGGTCATATACTGGAACGACTTGGTCCAACCAATATTCTAGGTTTATCTAACAAGAAAGAATGCTTTGAACACTCCAACGCACTGAACTATATCCGAGAGAAGCTTGTGGGGGCTAGATGTGAAATTCTGGAGAACTTAAAACCGTTTCCACAGACCTACAATTTTTCATCGCTCTACACATCTCGGTCTCACCGGGAAAAAAACAAAACCAAACCAAACAGCCCTTCACTCACCATTAGGAAGCCGGTGCTCTCAGCTGGGACCTCCTGCCCCAGCTCCCCAAAGCCTCTATCCGCCAAGCCCCGAGCCTTCTCGAATCTCTCAGTCCGTGACCTTCAAACTACACCTCCCATAAAGCCGTGCGAGGACACCGGCCCTTCGCCGGAAGTTTGAGAGGCTCCATCCGGCGCCGGGAAGAGCGAGCGAGGGGGTTTCCTGGTTCCTCGAGTACAACTTGCGTTCTTCTATTCTGGTCACCTGTGGGTTAGTAGCAGCAGCGGCGAGTTAGTCGGCCCAGTGCCGCTTCTGGAGCTGGTAACCAGTTCTCTGTGCTCTAGGGTCTCCGCGCTGTCGGGCCCTTCCCTGCTGGGTGGTGTGGCGTAGCCTCGCGCTTGGACTTGCAGCCCAGGCGCCGGGGACGGGGCTGGGGACTCAGCCGATCCAGCGCAGTCTTTGAGATGGGGAAAAAGAAGTGCTGCTTCATGTGTGCTTTCACGTTTTTAAATAAAAGTAATCTCACAGTACTGCCAAGGGAATAAACTCTCAAGGTATTTGACTGTTTGGAGACATTGGAGAGACCGTGCAATGGGTGGCGTTTGGTCGGTTAGATGGCCCTCTTGAACGCCCAAGAAATAATGGTCGGTGACTTAAGTGACAAAGCTGTATTTGAGGTCTGCCCTGTCTCTTGAGCCATGTGACCTTGAACCAGTCAGGGGCACCGGGGTACACATCCGTAAAAATGGATGTTCGTTTGGCTAAATCAAAGACTCTTTAAACTCAAGATTCTTTAAAATGACTTCTCAGGATAGTCCGTGCTCTTGGACAGCAAGGGCAGCATTTAGCTAACTGAATCACCTCATCCTGCCTTCAAATCCTTACCTTCAGGAGAACCTGACAAAGAGAAGTGAAAAAGTAAATCAGACAGTAGAGGTGGTCTTTAGACTTTGTGTGCTCTTCTGGAATGAGTAATGGTTCTATTTCTAGATGGCTTTTCTGCTGAGAAAGCTAAGGGGGAAAGTGCATTTTCCACTTCTTTTCACCTGAGACTACTGTATGCATAAGCATTGCGCTGGGGGTAGTGAATGGTACTGTATTTTTGGAGGCCAGTTTTGCAGTCAACCTGCACTGAGTGGGCTGTGGAGAAGGTAAGGAAGTGACCATGACTTAAATATTGCCTGAAGTAAACCTAACTGAAGAACCTGTATGATATGATTTTAAGGAAAAGGCAATTTTAAAGGGAGACCATACATGAGTCAGTATACAGCAGTGCAAAATAAAGTCCTGAAAAGTTGTAGCTTTCCTTATTCATAATGTTTTTAAAGCATTTAGGAATCTTAATATGAAGAGAATGGTAAAGTAAATTTTAGAGTAAATCAAAAGAAATAAAAAATTGTTTTCTAATCTAGAAGTCACTCCTACTTTAAGTTGTATACAGAATTTCAATATTTTGTTTCTATTCCTGTGAGTAGTTTTCACCTATTTATAGGTAGCAGAAAGATATAAACAGGCAAGGTAAACAGTCACAAAGCCCACTTTTTTCTTTTTATATTGTCATGCTATTCCTACTACACAACTGATCAACAAAATTGCAGTGTCAGAACCCTAGAGACAACTGCTGTCAAAAATTATGGATTATAACCTTTCTTTCTCTTTAGCCTCAATACCTTATGCTCAGAATGGTAGAAACCTAGTTAGAATCCCAAATCTTTTCTTAATAGAATTTCATAGAAAAAAAAAACATACCTTACAAAAAGTACTTTGAGAAGTTTATAGACAACTGAAATATGAACCATTTCCACCCACACACACAAAAAAGCTCAGTTTGTGCCCTACCACATTCAGTCCACAATTAGGCAACATTTATTAAAAGGTATGGAACAATTATTTTCTTTTTTACTGAAATAACAGTAACAAAGCAGACAAAGTTAATGGTTTTAAAAGCTTCTGTGATTCAAGTATAGACAAAGTGACCAATAGAACAGTGTCCAATAATAGGTCCAAAATATATGGTCATCTCATTTTTGAAAAGGATAATACTGCAATGTAATGGGACAAAGATAGTGAATTCAAGAATGATGCTGAGTCAAATGGATTATCTATTGGGATAAAATGTATCATGACCCCTACCTCACACCATGAGCAAAAATCATTCCCTGATGGATTAGCAGAATTAACTATGCGAGGTAAAGCAATAAATTTTTTTCATGTGAAACGTAGCTTTTTGAATAGGATCATAATTTCCCTGAGAGGACAGATCTGTTTCTAGTACCACAGATTCTAAGAATACTACTTGGCATCTGCTGAAAACATCTGTCTTTATTTCTGTCTGCTTGCTTTAACTCCCCTCATGCCCTGATCCATATTGAAGTCCCTCTGGTTTGCCTGAAATACACTTTCCTCTTTGTAATGTCTGTTACCTTATTCCCCCTCCCAATGATGTCACCCCCTTCAACTGTATTCCACCAAAGTTCTTTATACATTATTTTATACATCCCCCATGTTGAATTATATTTAAAATTCTCAACTGATAACAGTTTTGAAATGTATGCTGTGATGACAGTTGACTGCTAGTTACCTTTTTAAGAGCATATTGTTTTAGAAACCATAACTAATATTCTAATTATATCAGCACCCTGATAATGGTCAATCATTGATACAAGAAAGCAATTGCAAATGAGTTTTTTTTCCTGTTTTCCTATTTTAAGGAAGAAATGTCTTCTGTAAAAAGAAGTCCAAACCAAGAAATTACATCCCAATTTCACTATTCAGCTGCAGAAGGAGATATTGCCAGGTTAACAGTAATGCTCAGTCATTCTCCATCTCTTCTCAATGAAACTTCTGAAAATGGCTGGACTGCTTTAATGTATGCTGCAAGGAATGGGCATCCAGATGTTGTCCAGTTTCTGCTTGAGAAAGGGTAAACATTTTAGGCTGTACCACCTGAAGGAGTATCTGGTTTAATTTCTGGTTTACGTATTTTCTTTTAAATTTTTCTTATAGCTATATTTATAACATTGGGCTTGTAAATAACTCATTGAACAGTCTTGTTATATAATAGCGTAATTTCTAATTAAAAATTTTTAACTTTTTTTAATTGGGAACTTAACTCTTCATACTTAACAGCAAAGAAATTAAGTTAAATTAATTTTTTTCTCCCAAATAGAATGTGTAAATCTAACCACTATGACTATAGAAAACTCCTTGTAAAAATTTAATATCTCATTATAGCACATAAAACGTATAGTTTTTTTATTTTATAAATAATCTTCCAGAAATTTTAAATATCTGCTGTCTCTAACTTTTAATCATTTATGATTGTTTCTTTTACCTTTCCATTAGTATATTATGTGCTAAAACAAAAAGAAATATATGCAATTATTAAATAGAGGGGCTATCACGTACATCTGGAAATATTGTAATAAATACTGAAGAAAATGTGTCTTTACTTTTTTGCTTCCATCCATAGGTGCGACAGATCCCTTATCAATAAATCAAGGCAGACTGCACTGGATATTGCTAAATTTTGGGGTTATAAGCATATAGCTAATTTACTAGCTAATGCTAAAGGTGGGAAGAAGCCTTGGTTCCTAACCAGTGAAATGGAAGAATGTGAAAATTATTTTAGCAAGACACTACTGGACCGGAAAAGTGAAAAAAGAAATAATTCTGACTGGCTGTTAGCAAAAGAAAGCCATCCAGCCACAGTTTATATCCTTTTCTCAGATTTAAATCCCTTGGTTACTCTAGGTGGCAATGAAGAAAGTTTCCAACAGCCGGAAGTCAGGCTTTGTCAGCTGAACTACACAGATATAAAGGATTATTTGGCTCAGCCTGAGAAGATCACCTTGATTTTCCTTGGAGTAGAACTTGAAATGAAAAAAGAGTTATTTAATTATGCTGGGGAAGTCTCACAAGAAAAAGATGCAGAAAGAGATGCATTGGTTGCCTGGTTTGCTTTAGGTATAGATCCTGTTGCTGCTGAAGAATTTAAGCAAAGACATGCAAATTGCTATTTTCTTCATCCTCCAATGCCAGCTCTTCTGCAATTGAAAGAAAAAGAAGCTGGTAAGAAGTGAACACTGTTTACTTGTATTGGTAATAATCTGATTTTTGGTACTGGATTGAAATTGCATGTATCCACAATTTCTAGGAAGCTCACTCTTTCCAGGAAGCAATGAAATTAGGCTGTCTTCATTAGAAACTTCCTAAAGTTCTCACCCTAGAGGACTACTCTCCCGGGTGGTTACAGCAGTTTTAATCAGCCAGGATTAGTTTCCCCAGAATTAACCCTAATGCATACTGGTTTCACTTGATTTTTTAGTGAATGATTATTGAGTGCCTGCTGTACACTGAGCATAATGGCAAAGACCTTGACTGTTTTGCTTTGCTGTCTGTTGCTTGCTATGCCAGTTCATGTGGGGTCATATATATCATGGTAAGAATGAGGGATTTTATTCTAAATTCCATTTAAATGTTATAACCTGGCCTAGGTTTAAAAAAAAAAAAAAAAAAACCTCACTCTGGCTGCTTTGTAGATCATGAACTGTAGATAATTAAGTGTGGAAGTCAGGAGTCCTATTAAGAGGGGACTGGAGATTACAGTAGCCCAGGTAAGAGATTGCAGTGGCTTGGATTAGTGGAGTAGAGAGAAAGGGAGAGTTTGTGATATTCAGGAGGTAGAACTGATAGGGCTTGAACAGTAGGTTGAGACTTATAAGTGAGAAAGAGATGCTGGTAACCTAGACTACGTCTGAGTTGTTAAGATGATAATAGGGGAGATGGAGGAAAAGTGGTACATTCAAGATATATTTTGGAGAGCAAATCAGCGGTACTTGCTAATGGAGTGGGTATGGGGTATATAATAATGAAAGAAAAGATCAAGAATGACTGCTAAGTTTGAGACTTTAGTAATTTGGTAGATAGTAGTACTCTTTCTTGATAAAATAATACAGAATGATGGGTAGAGTGAGGGAAGCAGGACAGACTTGAAGTAAATCAAGATTTTCACTTTGGGCATGTTAACTTTCAGAGAAGGGAAATAGAATCTGGAACTAAGGAGAGGAACTGGAATATACCTGTATGGCAGTCATCAACACAAAGGTGGTATTTAAATCCCAGGAAATTTCTGAGATTACTTAGAGAGTTGAGAGCAAGCAAAAAAAAGAACCTGAATCCCCCTAAATTTAGAGGTCAGATAGGAGAGGAGCCATCAAAGATGATGTTGACAGTGCGGCCGTAAGGTAAGAAGAAAACAGGAGAATGTGCTCATGGAAACCAAGAGAGCAAAGTATTTCTTGGCGTTAGTAGTCAAATATATTGAATGCTGCTGAGAATTTGAGTAAGATGACAAAGATTTTTTTTTTTAAAGAATCTTTGGTTTGATGACATGAAGCTGTTGATGAATTTGATGAGAGGAGTGTCAGTGGAATAGAAGGTATATTACAGTAGACTGATGAGTTAATGAGAGGTGAGGAAGGGGTCACTTCTCAATGTCCACATTCTCTTCGGCGATCTGGTAGGCTCTTCCAGAGACTTCTTAGCACTCATCCCAAAATCTGGGGTGGTATGTTTTATTCCCCACATCTGTGGAAAAAACACAACACTTTTAAAAAGAAAATATCCTTTCTTTGAAGCTGTATATATAATTTTAAGATCAAAAGGATCTTTAAAAAAAAGCTAGTAAGGAAACTGAGGCTGTTTTACTCAGCTGCTTTGTAACCTTACATAGATACTTAACCTCTGTCTGCCTCAGTTTCCTCCTCCCAAAAATGAGGATAATAATAGTACCTACATTATAGTGTTGCTCTAAACATTAAATAAGATAATGTATGTAAAGATCTTTGCCAGGTGCTTGACACATAGTAAGTACTCAATAAATGTTAGCTTTTTTTTTTTTTTTTTTTTTCCCCCCCCCTATTCGGGCCTCTCACTGTTGTGGCCTCTCCCGTTGCGGAGCACAGGCTCCAGACGCGCAGGCTCAGCGTCCATGGCTCACGGGCCCAGCCGCTCCGCGGCATGTGGGATCTTCCCGGACCGGGGCACGAACCCGGGTCCCCTGCATCGGCAGGCGGACTCTCAACCACTGCACCACTAGGGAAGCCCAAATGTTAGCTTTTTGTATTGTGATGATACTGAAATAATGCGATACCTTGAGGTAAATTACATAATACACAGTAACAGAGCAGGCAGATATTTAATGTTGCCTGTGGTTCACTGAATTTCAGTGTTACATTTGTTTTTATTTATGGTTTATTAGTTGCATTTTTCCTAGTTTAAAATGTTGTTATTGCTGTTTCTGATTGTTTTGTTTATTCCAAAATCCTTAGACCGAATAATCTATTTTAGGAGAGAGGTTTTGTCAGGCATTTGAAATGTAGCATTTCTACGCTTATTGCCCCAATTCTAGTATTTTTGGTCAGGCCATATTAATTCTTTTTTGAAGTATCAGGGTAAAGGCTGTAGACAAAGTGTACATATTCTAAGATTTATTCTATTAGGCATTTTTGTCATAAACAAAGTTAATCACAAAAGTTGTAAACAATATTTTTAAAAAATTATTCTATGTAGTTTCTAGTTGTAAACAGAATATGTTCCACAGTGACACAGACCAGTATTGTCTTAGTCCCAAGGAAAGTAGAGACAGGTTCCTACAGTTTCCTAGTAATATTGTCTTTATGGCCCAAATCTAAGTTAAGAACTGTCTTTGTAGTGTATTTTTATAAAAGTCACTATTGTAAAGTCACTATTTGTAAAGTCACTATACGCTAGAGTCATGCATATCCAAAATTTACAAATCACGTGTAGTAAATGCCGAAACTAATACAGTGTATACAGATGTTAGTACCTCTATCTTTTTTTTTAATAAATTTATTTATTTTATTTACTTATTTTTGGCTGCGTTGGGTCTTCGTTGCAGCGCGCGGACTTTCTCTAGTTGCGGCAAGCGGGGGCTACTCTTCATTGCGGTGCACGTGATTCTTATTGCAGTGGCTTTTCTTGTTGGAGAGCATAGGCTCTAGGTGCGCAAGTTGCAGTAGTTGTGGCATGTGGGCTCAGTAGTTGTGGCTTGCGGGCTCTAGAGCGCAGGCTCAGTAGTTGTAGTGCACAGGCTTAGTTGCTCTGCGGCATGTGGGATCTTCCTGGACCAGGGATCGAACCCATGTCCCCTGCATTGGCAGGCGGATTCTTAACTGAGCCACCAGGGAAGTCCCAGTATATCTATCTTATATGAGAGTTATATGAGAGACAATATTTTATTAGTCCAAATTAAAGCTAAATCTAATTTTCATTTGTCATCTGTAGAATTAAATCTTTTACTTTAAAAGAAAGATACAGATCATAAAAATAGGAATAATAAAACCCTTGAGTACACAGCTATTCAGAAAATACAGTGTACATCTTTATTATGACCTAAGAATATTTTACTTCTATATTAATTTGTTTACAATTTGTCACAGAAGTAAAACTTCTCTTGCTTCTCTCGTAGGGGTTGTAGCTCAAGCAAGATCTGTTCTCGCCTGGCACAGTCGATATAAGTTCTGCCCAACCTGTGGAAGTGCAACTAAAATTGAAGAAGGTGGCTATAAAAGAGTATGCTTAAAAGAAGACTGTCCTAGCCTCCATGGTGTTCACAATACATCATATCCAAGAGTTGGTAAGCCTTTTCTTTTACAGTGAAACCTCAGCCATCTGGAAATCTTAGGGAATAAGGCATTCTGGAAAGACAAGATTTTGAGTTGCTGAGGGGCTTACCTTTTTATTGAAAGCATGTTTAATTTAACTATTAAGACTATAATTATTAAAGTATTACATACTTTGATGACTTTTACTACCCTTCTTAACCCTGGGTTAATCAGCATGAATTTGATGCATTGAGATACATGATTTCAAAGTACCTGCTTGTGGTATCACCAAAGCGGTAGAGCCTGGAGCTAGCTTCTCATTACTGCTGGTGTCTGCCTGTACTTTCTCTCCTCCTAATTGGTGCTTTGAGTTGGCTGTGGAATTAGAAATCTGATAACCCAGCCCTTTAAAGTTGTGTGAAAAAAGGATAGACTCAGCAACACCTGAGGAGGTCTCCTGGGAGTAAAGTGCATGGCTTAGTGACATATATGTTTGCTGCTTAGGAGCCCTTTACATTTGATTACCGGCTCTCAGTTGTGATCTAGTGAGGCGAATTTACTGAATTAGTGACTTCTCGAGAGAGGAACTATTATTTGAAGTAATTTTTTTTAATGGATTAAACTCAATCATAGAGCCACATTATCTTTTAAAAAATTTTGTTAAGGACTGCGATGGAAGGAATAGGGAAATTCACTACATTTGCTATGGTAAAATTTGAATTTTCTCCATGCCATGTATTACCTACTCAAACTTCTTTCTAATTAAAAAATAAAAATAAGCCTAGCATACCATAAATACACAATGAATGTTGCTATTAAGATGAGAAAGAAGACAAAAATGATCTTTCTTTAGCTTACTGACAATATTCTATGCAGTTTTCCTGAAATACTCTGTCTCCTGGCAGAAAGAAACAGTCTCTTGTAACTAGACAAAAGTCTTGTTCTTACAGGAGATGCATGTTTTTATTATCCTACTAGACAGTGACTTTACACAGTGAGTCTAAATTATTTTTTCCTGTCATTCATACATCTGATTTTTTTTTTTTTTAAAACAGATCCAGTAGTAATCATGCAAGTTATTCATCCAGATGGGACCAAATGTCTTTTAGGCAGGCAGAAAAGATTTCCTCCAGGCATGTTTACCTGCCTTGCTGGATTTATTGAACCTGGTAAGCCTTTTCTTAATAATTTTTATAGTAATTTTCATTTAACTTATAATTTCTAAATAAAAAGTTTGGACAGCATTTGAGAAATAATCTCTGATAAATTATCATGTTATAAAACTGGGATATTTTTAAATATTTTCTGTGTATTTTAGATGATATAATTTTTATTTTTACCAGTGGAATAGTTTTGTTTTAAAAATTCATTATTTGCTCTTTCATATATCTTTCATATATTGCCCTTACCCAAGGTATCTGCATGATATACACCTCACTTCCTTCTGTACTAGGCTCAATTGTCAGCGTTTCAGAGAGGCCTTCCCTGATAGCTCTAAATACATTAGTTAGCCCTATACCCTGCATTTACAATCCCTGTCATCCAGTCTGATTTTTTCCCTACAGCACTCATCAGCACCTAACATGGTATATATGTATGTATTTATTTATTTGTTTATGATTTGCTAGTACCAGAATGTAAGTTCCATAAAGGCAAGGACTTTGTTTTATTTATTGCTCTATCCTAAACCTTTAGAGCATATGCCTGATATGTTGTAGTACAGTAAATATTTGCGGAATAAATGAATTAATATATCTAATTAACACGTTTAATCTCAACTTCCAATATTAATCTACATTGATAGATAATAATAGTACTAAACATATGTAGTGCCACACTTTCCCGAAGGCTTTCTTTGTATTAAATCATGTGATCCTCATACAAGCTTATAAAGTAGGTGGTATTTCAGCAGTTTTACAGATGGGGCACTAAGGTACAGGGGCTGAATAACTTGCCCAGGGTCAAACAGCTAGTAAGTGATAGGGCAGGGATTCAAACCTGGGCAGTTTGGCTCTGAGTCCATGCTGTTAATTTCTATGCTGCCTCTAAGTAGCTCTAGGTCATTTTTTTTAACTGCTGTATAGCCTTCCATTTATGAATATTCTGCAATTCATTTATCCAATTCTGCTGTTGGACATTTAGTTTATTTCAAAGCTTTTACTATTACAAACAACACTGCAGTGAATATTCTTGAACTACTCCTTGTACACATTTGCAAGGAGTGGTATAAGCCTCCATAGGGTGTATATCTGAGAGTAGAATTGCTAGCTCATAGGATATGAGCATCTTAATCTTTTCCACATATTGCCAAGTTGTTTTCTGAAGTGTTCCTACCAATTTACACTCCCTCTGGAAGTACATGAAATGTCTATTATTCCTCATCTTCACCAAGTTAGGAATATCAAGATTTTTATTTGCCATTCTGATGGTTATGAAATGGTTATGTCATTGTCGTTTTAATTTTTATTTCCCTGCTGATGGAGCATCTTTTTTCAGATATGTACTAGGCATCCAGTTTCTTTTTCCCTGAATTTTACATTTTTAGCTTCTTCGCCTATTTTTGTTTTAGTCGTTGATCTTTTTTTCTTACTGATTTTAGGGGTTTTTAAATATGTATTGTATGCTAATCTTTATTTAGTTTGGTCTTACAAATATCTTATGCTAGTCTATGAGTTACCTTTTCACTAATTTTATGAATATAAATTAATTTTAATATAGGAAATTTACCAATCTATTTGAAATAGAAAGCTGTATTTAAATAGCAAACTATGTCTAAACTTTCAGATAAATTTAACTTAGAAACTATTCCCTTTATTCTAATTCTCAGTTTTAACAAATCAGAAATATAAATTACATTTATAGGCATTACTTTATTATAGCTGGGTCAACAATTATATAGAGAAAAATAATCATTTGGTAAGAGAAAAATAATGAGTTTCAGTGTATGCTGTTTTTAAAATTGTAGTTTTTAACTCTTTGGAAAAGAGTTATCTGCAATAATTGTTTGACAACATAAAAAAATGTTTCGAGATTTTAGTGAGGAAAAGGTTAGCTACATAAACAACATAATATATAAAGTGTTTGCATAGTGTTTAGCCAACAGTAAGTACGTGCTGGATAGTCGTAGATGTTATAATTTTTAAAATATAACAAATTTAGACCTTTAAGAAATGAAAAGTTTCTTGGCATTTTGATTCTGTAGGTAGTCATATAAGAAATAATGTTTCTTGGGCTTCCCTGGTGGCGCAGTGGTTGAGAGTCCGCCTGCTGATGCAGGGGACACGGGTTCGTGCCCCAGTCTGGGAAGATCCCACATGCCGCGGAGCGGCTGGGCCCGTGAGCCATGGCCGCTGAGCCTGCGCGTCTGGAGCCTGTGCTCCGCAACGGGAGAGGCCACAACAGTGAGAGGCCCGAGTACCACCAAAAAAAAGAAATAATGTTTCTTGAATTCCAATCTCGTTTTAGGCTTCTGCTTTCTGATTCTTTGAATTGGGTTTCTGTCCAAAGTGTTTTCCAAATGTTTGAACCATTTGGAGCACAAAATGTCCAGGGTATGTTCATCAGCTACTTGTTCTTTTGCCCCATTTGGTTAGGGGAGACAATAGAAGATGCTGTTCGGAGAGAAGTAGAAGAAGAAAGTGGAGTCAAAGTTGGCCGTGTTCAGTATGTCTCTTGTCAACCATGGCCTATGCCCTCCTCCTTAATGATTGGTTGCTTAGCTGTGGCAGTGTCTACAGAAATTAAAGTTGACAAGAATGAAATAGAGGATGCCCGCTGGTTCACTAGAGAACAGGTGAAGTTCAATTTAATTTCCTTCTTCTATTGATTCTCTGACTCTGTTGGTTTGGGCATGTAGCAAGGATACATGTTTTCAACAAGTTGAATGAATGGCTATGGCCCCCTCATCATTCATGGATTACAATGTAATTGATGTGTCCACTGTTAACTCCTTCTGTGAGATTCTTCTAGTAAAGATGATTCTGTGCCGTTTTCTCATTTCAAATGCCATTCCTTGAGATTAATGATACCTTTCAGTGGCCTTAAAATGGGTGAACATTATTTCAGAGATGAGAAGCAGGAATATTATTATTAGACATATTTTAGTTTGTAGCATTAAAGCAAGTAACTCAAAAAATATCAGTAAAAATGCATATAAGTTTTGAAAAATTCTTGTTCATTTTAAATGTACTTGACAAGATTGACGAAACTGTATAACAGATACACTCACAGAACTTTTTAAAACTCATCCTTAAGTAATACAATGAAAGATAAATTACTTGTCTGTGTTTTGTATAACCCAATGTCTTTGTATAGAAAACAGATGGATACTCTACAGTAGTGAAGACCTGAAATCCTTAGTGACTTCGCTTACACAAAATTAATTTTATTTTATGCTCAACCTCAAAAAAAGTAGAAATTAGATTTTTTTTCCAGAATTTTATAAAAGGATAAAAGGGAATTTTTTCCAAAAGTTGATTTTCACTTTGAAAATAAATGTGTAGCATATACTTTGCTTTTTCATAACCTTATTTTCATCAGGAAGAATGTCTTTCTGGAATATTTAAAAATTGAATCACTGACTCAATGAAGCAACTAAAAATAGTGTACTAAATTTTGCATGTTGAATATAGATGTTATTACTTTCTCCTGTTGTTATTCACTGTAAAAGTCATTACATTTTAGTTGAATTGTATAAGCATAGAAATAGTATTTAAGTATGACAGACAGTTTTAAAATCCTAATATGTTTTATTGTGGTGTATTTTAGGTTGTGGATGTTCTGACCAAAGGGAAGCAGCAGGCATTCTTTGTGCCACCAAGCCGAGCTATTGCACATCAACTAATCAAACACTGGATTGGAATGAACCCCAATCTCTAAATCAAATAACTAAACTTTGACTATGTCTAATTGATTTCTTTTTTTTTTTAAGTCAAAATTAAATTTTATTTCACACTGATAGAAACCATGAAAAAGATTTACATTTTCCCACATTACAGCACAACATTTCAACAGAATATTTCTTGCCATACATTAGATCTTGCTAATATGTGTGAAACAATAGTTTATATTCTTAAAGATAAAAGCAAAATGACTTAGTAAATGATTGTTTAAAAACTGTAAATCCAGACATAAACATATGGCTTCATTATTAACATCCTATACAAAATCGTTTCCATCATCAAGTAGCACCCATTTATAAAGCATTCCTAACAGTGTTCTGGTCAGTTGGGATACAGCAGTTCAGAAATATCAAGCGTACATTTTTGCTACATATTAACCTGGGTGGTAACTACACCATAAAAATCTATTTAAAATCAAATAATTGCTACCTTTATGTTTGCACAAAAACTAACTTAAAAAGATCCTCTCTGACTACAGTGAAAATTTCAAATAAGTCCATTGGCAGATAAAAGTAAAGCAGATTCTTTGAATGGGATTGTTCATTTCCTATAGCAGTCGGTTTCAAACCTATGTGCAAAATAAGTAAACTAAAACTCTGTGCTACGAGGAGAATCATCTTAGAGCAAATCATCTTAGAAATGACAGTTTGTAAGATCAGTCTTAAATATTTCAAAACATACTAGAACATGACCTAATTATTCTTCCAGATAATTACAGAAAAATACTACCACAGAATTATTCTCGTTACCTGGACTGAAGATTCTAGTAACTCTGCAGGCCTAAACTGCAGACAAAGGTCCAGTTTAAGAAGTAGTGCAGAAACTTTGAAGGGATGTCTGGTTTCTTTCTACAAGTATAAATACATTTTCAATGCCATCATGTCTGATTCAGAATGTCAAATTACAGCATGTATTGACAGCAGATGTTTATGGCAAGTAGGCAATATTTGGTCTGTTATGAAGGATAAAAAAGAAAGGATGTATTTCATTTCTAGAGAGGAAAAAGAATATTAAATAGAAATTATATTCAGGAAAGAAAAACCTGGTCCCCAAAATAAAAGGGCCATGACACTTAGAAGCATTATCCCTATAATTAGGAATAATGTAATAACACATTCTTACTATGTATTATAATCATTAAGCACATATGAACACATATATAAAAATACAGATACTGCATGGTGACAAATTTGGGAATAAGTCCAGAGTCTAAGTCACAGCATGCATAACCTGTCTTAACTGCTCATTTATACCTGAACAAGTTTTCATTAAGCATACTAATAATTTTCAAGTGATGTAATAAAAAATCTGGTTGCAGTATTTTATTATTTTGCTGAATTACGTTTGGGAGAAAGAAGCTAGCTGCTCCACCTATTTTAATACTAGTATATTCTGGATCATATTATAGATAGAAACTTAACAGATCATAAATTTCCCACGAGGAGATTCATTTAGTCTGTGTCATTGGTGTGTATTTGCAAAACATTTTAACACTGCGAACATCAGAGGTTTCAAGATCGGGCACAGGAAAAAGCTTATACTCTACGATGATGCTGGTGTGCACTTCTCCACAAGGTCTCTTAGTGACGTCAATCAATGGGAGGTAGGAGTTTATCAATGAACTGCTTGATATCCATCATTTCCTGTTGACATGAACGGTGCATCATGCCTCCAGAGGTTTTGAAGGTTACATTGGCTGGATTTACCAAGGTTTTCAGCCTTTCAGCAGTGGAGAACCAAACACTAGGGGAACTAAAGGATCCAAATCTCCATGGCACTGAAGAATAGAAATGACTCTATTCACTCCACTGATAAGACCCTGTGGAAAGGAAGCTCGCAGCGGCAGCCAGCAGCTGAGAGCGGTGACGCCGGCCGGCTTCTGCTGTGTGGTCAGTGCCACGTACAGAGATAAAGCTCCTCCTTGAGAAAATCCTCCCAAAATAATTCTGTTAGAAGGAATGCCATTCTTCACCTCTTGCTCTATCAAAGATTTTACACTTTCTGCTGCTTAATTCCAGTTTCATCTTCCTGTGAATCTGGTGAAAGCCCAATAAATGTCAAACCAAGTAGGCATTGCCACGTTCATATTTAATGTTACAGACATAACCGGTCCCGTGTCTCCCAATCCTTGAAGGAAAATCACCGCAGCGGAGGCCTTCCGGACGGCGGGCACGATGGCGGGCAGCGGGGTCGACGTGTTATTGCCACACAGACATCGGCTCGACCCACCGCGCGTCCGAAGAGGAAAGCGGTGCGATCGCCGCGTCCCGCCCGCGCGCGGGCGCGCGCTCGGGCGCGTGCGCGCCCACGCGGCGCCGCACCGCCCTCAGACCCCGCCCTAATTGATTTCTAATCCCATTTATTCCTCAAGTAAGATTAGAAATGTTTAATGCGCTTTAGAACGTCACAACACAAATATCATACTGGGTTTTCGAAATGTTTTCGAAATGTACCTTCCATCTTAACGATAAAATTCATATTTTTAAAAATTATAACATTTCCGCAGATTTTGTTAAATCTGAGTCAGCATTCTCTGAACTTTCTGGGGCGGGGGGAGTTGTGCTCCACAGTTTTATCTCACAAAACCGTATTTCTAATAAGAGAAATCATGTAAAGAAGTATGTGCTGAAAATGTAAATAAACCTAAATTTCAGCACCTCTTGTAAGCATAAGACCATTCACTAAAGGTCTTTTTTGAGAAATGAGACAAAATATTTTTAATGAATTTTGAGCTTGGATTTTTAATACTTTCGTTATCACGAAGGTCCTTTTGGTTGTCAGTAGCTGATTTTTGCTCATCTTCCCATTGTAGTCCACTTTTTCTCCTGGTTCCATTGTTCTAACAGTGGCACTGTTACAGTGTTACTACTAGTCTGTTTCGATCAGTGTTAAGAATTTTCTATTTTAACAACTCTGTTAGTGAGCACTATACCACGCCCTCAGGGAAAGAGAACTTCAGTGAGAGAATACCATTGTGTCTGGGACCCCCTTCTTAAACATAAAATTAATTAACATATCTATTTGTTAGCTCTACTCAAAGTTGTTCTTAAGACAAATCAGGAGTCTCTGCTTTTTCCAGTGAAATTAAACATATCTACAAGGAATTCTTTTCAAGGTCAAATATTAAATAAAATCCCAGATAGATTTACATATTTAATAAAAACACTGGCTTATGTCATTTTGTGATAAGGGAATGTATCTTCATTAGGGGAAAATTATATAATCATTACTAATAACATTTATTAAACTCAAATACAACATCTTGGTTTTGGCCTTATTTCAACACATTCTAAGAAACGTTTATTTAATAAGCATATCTTAGAACTGAAACAGTAAGATTTTAGAGAAAGTAAACTAGAATTTCACAATTTTGCAACATAAAACTCATATTTTATAAGGATGTTTTGAAATTGTTTTAAAAGGTACTTTATAAATGTATAAATTTATATAATTTGGCTCTTTACTATTCTATGTTGGAACTGGAAAAGAACTTAAAGACAATATTTGTAGTTCACTGCCTTTTTTTTATAGATAAGGAAAAGGAAATCCTGAAAGGTGAATTTAATTAATTTATCCGTTAAAGGTGAATCAATTAATTAATTGGTGAAAGCCACACAATTACAACCACTTACAATTGTTAATACAATTAATTATAATTAACTTAATTACAACAGTCTGTACTGTATAACCCAGTGCAGGATTCTCCCTCTAATAGGAAGTAAAAACTATTACTCAAAGTATATGTGGGGTGATAAGAAGAATAAATTTAATTTACCAAATCCTGTTAATTAAAATTTAGGTACTAAAATTCATTTAAATAATATCTTTCTCAAACAAAACTTTATTTTACTAATGAACAATGATTTTCTTAGTAATTGATGAAAATATTGATATCAGGACTTTGGACAAAATTAAGACTTACATAAGACATTTAGATACATAATAAAATTTGACTGTGGAGTAACTAAGCCTGTGCTCCACAACTACTGACCCTGCACTCTAGAGCCCGCGAGTCACAACTACTGAAGCCCACGTGCCTAGAGCCCGTGCTCTGCAACAAGAGAAGCCACCACAATGAGAAGCCTGTGCAGCGCAACAAAGAGTAGCCCCCGCTCGCCGCAACTAGAGAAAGCCCATGCACAATGAAGACCCAACGCAGCCAAAAATTAAAAAAAAAAAAAGATCTGAAGGGACAAAAGGCCTTAAGGAGGAAAACAGAAAGGCTTCTGGGAGAAACTGACTGAAGTTCAGATCGTTAGGTATGTAAACCAGAAAAACATACATATCAGACAGTAAATAGGATTGCTGCAAATAGAAGAATTTTGGGCATTCCAATTTAGATCTAGAATTTCGCCATATTCATCTTTTGGTTGTATAATTTAAATATCTTCTGAGTGCACTTTTGAGACTAAAGTATTGAAATGCCAGAAAATATTTAGCATGAAGAATATAAAGCCTTAGTTTTAATTCAGGAAGCATTATCCCAGATACAGGTAATCTGAAAGTTCCTTACATTGAAATTTTAGGGAAGAGTTAATACACATTTCTTGGATATATGGAACCATTAACGGAAAGGAAATAGTCTAATGCCCTTCAAAGGTTTCTGAACTACAACTGGTGGTTATACTGAATGGAGTCTGATCTTTTATAGCTCAAAGACAGCCTGTGATAGGAACAATCTTAGACATATGGTATATTAACATGTGATAGCTAAATTTCTTTCCACCTGAATTTTCTATGTAATTTGTACTATGACACAAGGACCTACTGCATAGCACAGGGAACTCTGCTCAATATCATGTAACAACCTAAATGGGAAAAGAATTTGAAAAATAGATACATGTATATGTATAAGTGAATCACTGCTGTACACCTGAAACTATACAACATTGTTAATCAACTATACTCCTATATAAAAATAGTTTAAAAAATAAAGTAACTATGCAACAGTTAAAAAAAAAATTTGAACTACATAAGTATACAGAAAATGATGTGCCTTGACTATTACAAAGAATAATGACTCGAGGTTCAGTTTTACACCAAATGTACTTTTAAT